GGTGCGGGAATGAATCCCGCCTGCGATGCCTGGCCCAGTGCTTCGCGGACTCGCAGGCCTACGGCGCGGGGAGGTCCGCCATGCCGATGGACCTCGACGCCATCATCGGGGCCGCCCTCTCGGGGAACCTGGAGGTCCTGGAGACAGCTTTTGCGGGAAACCCCAACTGGCAAGACTCCCTCTGGTGCTACCTCCGCTGCTTCCTCGTCGTCGCCTTCACGAAGACGCTCATCGACGCCAACGCCCCGGTTGAGCCGGCGTACGCGGCCTTTATCGAACAGCAGGTCGGCAGCGACGAGGACTGGATCGAGTCCTTCTCACGGAAGCTGGTGGTGGGGCTTCGGCAGCGCGTCGAGGCCCAAAACTTTTTGGACCATGTCAAACTAGAGGAACAGCTCGAGCTGCGCTTTATTTTGCAGATGCTATCCATGGATGGGGGCTACGATGAGCGCTATTGGTTTGATATCCGCCCCGAGGTGGGGAATCCCGAAGCGACGCGGCTGATTACGCATCTCCTGCTTGTCCTGGACACGGCCTGCTCAGAAGCCATTACCTCGTGTGATGTGCAGGAATACGCCTGGGACTCACTCGCGTTTTCGATCTCGCAGTACTCCGTAAGCCTTGCCCTGCTTCCTCTTTATCCTTTTGAGGACGGGCTCCGGGCGATGGTGGCGATGGCGATGCGCTTGCGCAACCCGAAGCACCGCGCGCAGGCCTACACCGCGTTTGTGCGCGCCGTTCGCGATTCCGAATTAGATCACGCGGAGATGTCCCGAGGGCAAATTGAGGAGCAGGAGGCTTCTTTAGTTCGGATGTTTGTGGAGTTGGACTCGGACACCGCCGTGCGGTCTGAAGTCCAGGTTCTGCTCAGTCAGGAGACCGCCGGCGACGCGCTGCTGACCCACAACAAAACCGCGGAAAAGATTATGTGGGAGGCGATGCACGCCTACACCACAAAGGATTATATGGCGGTCCTGAGTAAGGGGTTGGAAGCCTGTGTGGACTTTTGGTTGGCCGATCCGGAGCCGGAGCTGGATGCGATCACGGATGTCAGCCGCATTTTAATGCAGCGTGTGATACCCGCCCTTGTGGAGCCCACGCAAATGGCGCATCCGTCCAGCAGCATGGGCCCGGGGGGCAAAATATTCACCATGATCGAAGGCGGTGGCTGCTCGCAGGCTGATGCGTTGATCGGACCGACATCCGGGCCTCTTTCCGCGCAAGGGTGGAGCGAAGTGGTGTTTTGGTATGCGTTTAGTGAAGCTCGAGCCCTTTCAAAGGAGCACGCGAAATACGCCAGCACTCTTGGTGCTGCACGCGCGACGTCCGCTAGGGTCGATGGCAACCGAACGTTTCTTTTACAACTTTCGCAGAATGAAGGACGGTTTATGTCGAGGCTCATCGTTCAGACGCAGCGTGCGATTCGCCATGGCGGGGCTGTCGTTCACCGCTCTCGGCGGTGTTTGGCGGCCGTTGTGTGGATGCTTCAGGTGCTTGTAGAGGACGTGACTTTGAGTCTCCTTAATAGCGACAAGGCGGATGGATTGGAGCTTATTCAGACGGTATTCGCCTTATTAGAAGAGTTAAATGAGGCAGGATACCTACATCCCAGCTTGCTTCTTCAAAAAGACGCAAATGCGCTGTTCACATGTATTCGTGCGATGCGAATCACTTACGGCCAACGAGTTCTTCGTAAGCATGTAGAACAGACGTTGCTGCGGGTAGAAACAGCGCGTGGGACTCTTAGATTGTAAATAAAAAAAAAGGACAGAGCGAAAGAAAAGATGAGAGAGGATAGAGGAAGAGTATGATTAATAAACTATGACTGTTATCTTGTAAGGAATCTAGATATGCATAAATGCTGAAATAAACGAAGGAAAATTATCAACTCCTTTTTTAACACATCAAGACATTCTTATGAGTTGGAGTAACTCAGACGCACACATACTCAGGTTGTGCAGAGGCATTTAGTTCAAGCTCATTCCATTTATTCAAACTCATATATATATATGTGTGTGTAAATCTATATATGTATATATATATATATATATATATATACATATAATTAAACTTCGTGAGATAGTTAAATTTTATAGTATTA